GTAGGGAGTACCATTTATCACTTACTTCACGCGCAATCTACGTAGATAACAAATATAGTTAAATTTAATTGAGTATTTGATTAACTTTAGTTTATTTCTTCTTTTTTTTTGCAAATGATTTTGAAACTTATTCTAATTAACGCTCAAAAAATTTTCTGAAAAAAGTATTTTTTGGAGAAATTGAAAAAAAATAGACTGAAGATGCTACCAGACTTTTGAAAAATTATTTTGAAAAGTATTCGAGTTTGAATTAAATTTGTTATTTTAAAAGTTAGTTTCTTTAAAAAGAGTTAAAGTGTTAATCAAAAATATTGTTTTCAATTTGTAGAGCAACATTGTTAAATCTATTTTGTATGTTTTGGATCGATAAATTTGGAGAGAACGGAAAAATTTATTCTGTTTTGAAGTTACATCCATCCGTTCGTTGCATTCTATCCTTTGTTTGGTTCTATTAAAAATAATTTTCTTTTAATTATTTTCAGTGAATAAAAAAAGATTTTTAAATTGTCAAAACTACGAACGAGATTTTTTTTCTTCCAAATGTAATCACTGCACTAACCGGCTTATGATGTTGAGTCTATTTTTGTATAAAAAAATTTTCAATAATCATTTTTAATTTTTCTTTGGTGAGTAATTCTGGCTTTATGGTATATACTTTCTACATTTGTGCGTGGGTTATGACGTTGATTTATGTTTTCATTTGATTAAAGTCTTCTTTTTCATACAAGTATTTAAACAAAAACTTATCACATCAAATGATGATTAATTTATTCGAAATAATACGTTTAAAAGTTTTGGCGCGAAAACGTTTCGAAAAATTAAAACCAAAAATCACGGCACATATCTTTAAAACGTATACACGCCACACAAACACCACTCAAACACCACACACACACACACACACACACCACACACACAAACACCGCCCACACGTCGATCAGTGCATAATTTAAAATTCATTATCTAGCGGATAATCGGAGGTGTTTATTTAATTCTACAATCGGAGGTGTTTATTTAATTCTTTCCTCTTCTTGAACGAATATTTTTATAGCTTTAGTAACAATTGCTGTTGTCTAATATTGAAACGTTTATTTTAAAATTTCGCGATTGTTATATTTATAACTTAAATATTGAATTTTAATAAATTTGCATATATATATATATATATATATATATATATATATATATATATATATATGCATATATATTTACTGTTGTTATTATTACTAATGTGAATTTTGATTCGTCGTTTAGAAGTTAACACAAATTTGACGGCAACCCTTTGATGTTTTTGAAAAAATTATTATCAATCGCTAATTTTTTTTTTCAAATTGTGTTTAATTAAATAAATTTTTGTTGTCAGCGTGTTTTTTCTATGTTGTGAGAATTTTTTTATTCATTGATTCGTTGATGATCAACTTCAAATAATATTTTACGTATCTGACTTTCATTATATACCCATCTTCATTCGTTTTAACATCGTAATTAAGTCGTTATTTGTTTATTCAATATATCTAAACTACATGATATATAGGTATATATCGTTTCAAACAAAACTTCATGTATATATTTTAAACTCCATAAAGTGTACATTTATGACGTTTAGAATTTTCTCTTCATTTCATCAAAAATATTTTCACCATAATAAACATTTTTATCTTACGTAAGTAAGTATACAATTGTTATATTGTTTAAATGTAAAAAAAAACATTTGAATATGCGACTTGGATAACATTGAATGACGCTTTTCTACATATCATCAACCAACATTTAAGATTATCTGCAGTTGTGGGCGCTGATATAAATTAGAAATTCATCAACACATTCACACACGCATACATACATACGCACATACATACAGCCATAGGGACAACTAGAGCTAGACAAACATAGCAGTGTTGTTGATGTTCTGTATTACCAAGATACATGATATTCTATAAAACATTTGATTTATGACATTCTAAATACATACATGCGTTTGAGTGTGCGTGCGCGCGTGTGTGTATCTTTGTCTGCGTTGATGTATATGCGTGTGTATTCGAGCGTGTGTTTGTGTGTGTGTGTGTGTGTGTGCGTGTGTGTGAGGCCTGTATCAATTTGTTTGCATAAAAATGAAATGTACTCTCAACATACACAAACATACATACGTACACAAGTAAGTATTATGTTTATTGAATTACTCAAACAAACATATCATGCAGGGAGGTGAATTGAGTGCAAATATTCAAAAGCACTTACAAATAAAGAAATACAAACACACATATGAATGTGCAAACATGCATACAAACAAGCAAATATACACATATACAGATAAATACACTTCCTCACAAACACACATGCAAACACTCAGACGGAGACATACAATTTCATATTGAAAAAATGTACAGACACACAAATTATATTAAGAAAATTGAAACATACACACACACACATACACACACACGCACGCACACACATACACACACGCGCGCGCACACACATACACACGCACGTACACACATACACACACGCGCACGCACACAGATGTATTTTTACACGTATTGTACTGTGGGGCCTCCCCATCTCAGGACAAAAGTATGCAAGTACTGGCCATAAATTGTACGTGCGTCAGTCTGAATGAATTATTTTCCAAAACAATGAAGAAAAAAAAAGCAGAAAGATAGAACGAATGATGAAAAGAAAGAAAGAGAGATGGAGAGAAAGAAGAAAGGAAAGAAAGAAGGAAAAATGAGGAGCGTGTTTCTGCATTGTAGCCGATGTCTTTTCCTAATTAGCATCTTTTAATATTTTTGAAAGCACTGTTCGCATTATACTAAAATCTTTTCAGTATTATCTTTATGATTATGATTATTATTATTATAATTTATATTTTTTTGTTATTATTGGCTGTACTTTTAATCTTAACACCTACTTTTTCTCTGGCTCGATCTATCAATCTTCCAGCATCACTCCTTTATTTTACATACTGTCCGTTTGATGTTACATCAAATTCGCAAAACCATTTTTATGTTTTATTCATTTATTATTTATTTATTCATTCATTTGTCTATTTGTTCATTTATTTAGTCATTCATTCATCCATTCATTTTTCAGTTATCCATTCATCAACTGCCAATATACATCTATCGATTTGCAATCCATCCATCCATAAATATTTTTCATCCCAGCAAAAACCAACCTGCATATTTCCCAGGCAATAAATATATCCATCAATCAGTTCATCCATCCATCACTCATTTATCCGTTTGTTCATTATCTCAGTTTCAATTCTTTCTTTCGTTCATTCGTTCACTTTTCTCTCTATCTATCTATCCATCCTTCTGTCTATCGGTCTGCATATTATTTCTTATACCTGTCGTGAAAAATACACAAAGGAAGATATATGAAAGAGCGTATACATATCTACGATGCTGTATGTGCATTCGTGTACGCGTGTGCGTGCGTGTGCGTGCGTGTGTGTGCGAGCACAATTGCCATCATATGCATATTTAAGTCATGGTACGTGCCATCTATTTGTTTGGCCCGTCAGAAACATGATTTATTATTCAGAAATATTTATTTATATACATTTAGCGCACATTTCGCAAGACCACACACACACGTTCACAAACACGTACACACTCACAAACACACACACTCATAAACACACACACACACAGACACGCACACACATACTAACGCATACAAACATATATCATCATGACGCGTTTCTATGCTTACAGATCAAATATAATCAATAATTATGTATATATGTACATTTATTAAACTGTTTTTTTTATAAATACAAAAATGCATGTACAAATTTGTGTAAATTAATTTTATTGAAGATTTTAATGATGTAAACCGGTAATTTTTAAATAAAATCAATACTCTATATATATCAATTAAATTATTAACTTACAATAAAAAACCATGATCATTAATTACATTACATCTTAAAAAACATTGCACAATTACTTAACTAGTACATTTAGTACAACATATGTACAATAAAGTGTACATTAGATTGTGCAAGTAACATACATCGTTGATGTGTTTTATTTTTTTAAAAAGATCTTGGGTATTTCTATGGCATTTCATCCTCATCGTTTATCATATTATATAGATGATATATATTATATATATATACCATATATATATACATATATATATATACCATATATATATATATATATATATATATATATATATATATATATATATATATATATATGTCATATATTTATATAATTTTAGCGCGATAATTTTTATATTTGCTTATGAATAAGTTTATTTGAATATATAAAAAAGTATATACATATAGGTTTATCGCACATATATATATATATATATATATATATATGCGATATGTATATATACATACATATATATATATATATATTAAATATTATTGGATTAAGACTGTCAGAAATGCAATCATTGATGAACATCACAGCATATTCTGAGTTAGTTATAGTAATTGGAAGTTAACAAACGCCGAACATGCTGTGATTTTCATCAATAATATGACTTTATTAATTTTGACATTATTACTTAACTTACTTTTTAAAAATAGCAATGATTGTTACAATAGAAATAACAACAACAACAACAACAATAATAATAATAATAATAATAATAATAATAATAATAATAATGTTATTATTATTTTGAATGAGTATAAAAATCACATAATGAAGGCAAAACAATGATTGCGATAATACTATCAACAATAAGTTCAATAAACTTAGTATTAACGACAATAACTACTTCCATTTCTACTACCAATGTTACTATCCTACCCTAACTAATACTATTACTACAAAAAATGCTACTTAGAACATTCAAAATTATAATAATAAAATCAGAATTTGATCTATGCCTATGGCGACGGTTCAGAACCTGTGAGGCCCTGACCCCTTAGAAAAACCAAAATTCGTTGCAGTGGGCGCCTAGTCAATCCTTTTATTTAGAATTTTGTCGTTAATGAAAACTAATTTAGTATATTCAATACTGAGAAAATGTGGGCGGAGTCAAGTGGGATGTTAACTTTAATCTTTAAGTGGGATGTTAATCAAAAAATTTCCATGAATATCCATGTGAATACGCTGGTGGTGACGGAAACAGAGAGGTCAGAGCCGCAGCTAATAAGGTTCGGGAGCACTAATATAAAGGACAAGCTATTGTAAAAAAATTTGAAAAAAATATTTCCATTTTACAAGATATTAGGAATAATAGAAAGAATTATAAAATAGATTATAGAAAGAAGTTTTAAATAATTATTATTGTTCTTTTTCCACGAAAGCTGATACAGAATCATAGAAAAAAAACAACCAATCTAGCGTTAAATTAATTTATTTATTTCGCCTTTGTATATTCTCCGCCATCTAATCACAGTTTATTGTTCCTAAAATGATAAATATTTATTGGAATAATAATAATAATCATTATAATTATTATGAATATTATATTATTATTATTGCTATTGTTGTTAATAATTTTATTATTATCATATAAACTTGACAAGCCACACAAGGATTTGATGTAATATAAATGAATAATAATGCCGATGTTTTGAATCAAATGAATGCTACTCAAATAATAACAAAAAAAATAATAATAACAATAATAATAATAATAATTTTAATAAGTATTATTACTATGGCAATTTTTTAAAATGTGAAGTCAGCTTTATATACAGTTTAAATAACTTAACGCATTTAATTGAAATACTCGTCATAAATTCACACATTATTTTATTCATTTGTTCATTCATTTATTCATTCATTCATTTTATTCATTTGTTCATTCATTCTTTTATTCTTTCATCCGTATATTCATTCATTTTTCCTATTATTATTATTACATATTTATATTTTTAAAATTTTCTTGACTGTGTTTTAGATGAAATAAAATGGCGCAAACAAATTTTTTCTTCTAATATTCAAATGTAAAATCTTACAAAAATAAGAGAGATAGAGAGAGAGAAAGAGAAAGAGAGAGAAAGAGAGAGGGAAAGAGAAAGAGAAAGAAAGAAGTTCATAAGAAAAAGTTGCAGTATACGAAAAGAAAATTAGAAACATGCTAATAGATAAAAATATACAAAACATAAAAAATACAAAGCAAAATAAAAATAGCGAAACATAAAAAAAATGAAGGTCTATCGAAGAGGAGTTTAATATACATCGAAAGTGAACTTAGTTGCAAAGCGAAAAAAACCTCAGACCGATAAAGCTAATCAGGAGTGTGATTTTTGCAATCATTTTTATTTCTTTTTCTGTATATTCTGATATTGCTTTTTCGTAATTTATATTTTGTTGTGGTTATTTTTTCATTTACTGTTTTATATTTTTTCAATTTTTCATCATCATATTTTTTTTCTATAGATTTTCATCGAATAGAAGAAGTATTGGCATGTCACAACACCAAATTATAAATTATGCATCTGTCTTCGGAGTCGTCTTCATCATCGTCACCATAGTCGGCCTCATCATTCTCATCAACAACGTCATCATCCTTGTCGTCATCATCGTCGTCGTCATCGACGTCATCATCGTCGTCGTCATCTTCTTTTTCGTCGTCATCTTCATCTTCATCATCGTCCTCATCTTCATCACACTACATCACTCACTCACTCACTCACTCACTCACTCACTCACTCACTCACTCACTCACTCACTCACTCACTCACTCACTCACTCACTCACTCACTCACTCACTCACTCACTCACTCACTCACTCACTCACTCACTAACTCACTCACTCACTCACTCATTTTCGATTTTTACTTTCATTTTTTGCCAATTTTTTGTGGTGCATGTGTGTCAAGCATTATAATTTATTGCCGATCCGATGATGGAAAATCATTTGACAACATGAGGAAAGATGTGTGTGCGTGTGTGCGTTCGTGTGTTTGTATATGTTTGCTTGTATGTGTGTGTGTGTGTGTGTTATTGTGTGTCTGTATGTGTTTGCGTGCGTGTTTTGTGTTGTGCGTGCATGGTAATAATGTAATAATGATAATGATGTTGATGGTAATAATAATGATATTGATGATGACGAAAAGGGATGATGATGTTGATGATGTTTATGATGTTGATGATGTTGATGATGATGATGATGATGATGATGATGATGATGATGATGATGATGATGGTGATGGTCATGTATATGATGATAATGTTAATTCATACAGTGTTGATGTTGGTGGTAGCTAAAATTAATACACGCGTATATACATGCAGACAATTTGCTATAACATAAAAATCAGAGACGTTTATAAATACACAATCAGCATAAACCACACAAAAACAAAAACAACATAAACCAGAAGAACTCACACATATATATCATTATTTATTCACCGTCAATCAATAGCTGACCTCGACTCTTTTGTCAACTTTCACCTATAACCTTTGCTGAGCTTGTAAAACATGCGAAGAGCAATAGGTAAGCGTCTTATGAATCTTATTAGGATGCGCCTATGTGTGCGTGTGCGTGCGTGTACGTGTGTGCGTGTTCGTGTGTGCGTGCGTATTTGTGTGTGCGTGTGTGCATTTGGCTGAGTGCAGTGGTACTTAATATTGGCCGTGAATGAATTTAGCATTTTCTTGCCTAATAAAAAAATGTTGTACAGGAAGAAAAATTTGATTGACACGAATTGATTTTGTATAAATCATTTATAAATATTCATTTATTTCCTCTATAGAACTCCTTGCCAAGAATAAAAACACATTGATTGAGGAAGGAAAAGAAGGGGAAAATAAATAAAAATTTCTCGGAAAATTTCACCAATAACTAGAAGAGTAAACAAATTAAATATAAACACACACACACGCGCGCGCGCACACGCACACAACAGAGACACACACACAAACAACACAGACACACACAGCGCGCGCTCACGCTTTCAAAGCTTGCGTGTGTGTGTGTAACATGTCTGTTTTGAGATATGACTTGAAGTTAGGCTGTAGTAATGGCTAACATGCATGCTATCTATTTGGAATGAGGGCAGGATTCAGTTGATACCACAAATGTTCTGCTTGACTCACTCGTTCGTCCATTCGATGTGGTCACGTTATTAGCTGGTCAATTGCGCTCGGTAGGTTTTGTGTGATTGTGGATGATTAAAATTGATTCTTTCGTTCAATTGTTTTTTATTTTTCCTCAGTGAAATGAATGAAAACTGAAAAATTTAACTAAAATCTCGTTAACTAACAACCAAAAACAAAACTGGGTCAAAACATCAAAATTTCCTAGAACATATTACTAACAACAGAAGAACATTAAAGCCAAACAACACCAACAAATAGTTGGTTAGTTGTAGTCTGATTTTTTTTCTAAAGAATAAAAAAATGTTTATTTCAAATAATCCCCAAAAGCTCGCTTGATTTTAAGTTTGAGGTCATTTAAAGTCAGGTCATGGTCACGAGAAAATAATTTAGCCCGATTTTTTTTTATTTCGAAGTGATTAATTGAAAAAAATTATTCTTACTTAACGTTATAAATATACATTTGTTTATTGAAGACTCATGTAAATTACTAATTGTTTCTATCTGTTATCTTAAAGTTTTGTTCAAAAAGTGAATATTCACCAATAATTGTACAAAATTTTAATGAAATTTCTTCTAAAAGGTGCACTTTACATTCAGCACTACGATTCATTGTCTTTGGGTGTTAAGCTCCAATCTGACTAATGATCTTGGTTGGCTTCTGAAATCTAGTTAGTTAGTGTTGTTGTTGCTAAAGTTGTTGTTTGGTTGTTAAAGTTGTTGTTTGGTCGTCAAAACTGTTGTTTGGTAGTGTTGAAAGTTGTTGTTTGGTTGCTGTTTGGCATTCTGTTGGCAGATGTTAGTGTTGTTTATGTTAAGCTGTCGTAGTTCTGGAGTTAGCTTGTAGTAATAGCTTTGGTAGGAACAGTCATAGGCTGGCTAGTGATGGTATTTATTGAAGCAGTTAATGAAATTTTATTGAAAAAAATTATTAAGACCATCCTAGTTTTAATTGAACAACAATAACACATAACACGCACACACACACACACACACACACACACACACACACACACACACACACACACACACACGTGCAACAAGAGACACAACACGCCATACGACAACATGAGCAATTTAACGCACGTACGAAATCTTAAACTTTCCTATTGCAGACATCGTTGTCTGCCAAAGGATTTAAATACTTCGTTTGTACGATTTTGTTGTTGTTTGTTGTTTGTTTGTGTGTGAGTATGTTTGTTTGTGTGTGAGTATGTTTGTTTGTTTGTGTGTGTGAGTTTGTTTGCTTGGGCAAGAAGCTACATAACTTTTATTATTGTTTTTGTAAAGAAGCTACGTAGCTTTTATCATTGTCATTGTGAATTTTCATCAAATTTTAGCGAATTGTCTAGCACAGAAATACTTCAACAGCGTCATAGATAAACAACACCAGCAACTACTACAACATCAACATCAGGAACAATAACAACAACATTTACAACGTCAACAACAACATTATAAAACAACAACAATAACAATAGCAAAAACAAAAACATTAACAACAACATCAGCAACATTAACAGCAACAACAATTACGACATCAACATCAACAACAATACTATTGGCACATGAACTCGTAAAGAAAGTGAATTTAAGACGACTAACATTCATCCAGTGAGAACGTGTTGAACGTTTTATTGTCAATAAATAGACGATCGTTGTTGCGTGCATAAAATCTTATAATTAGATTTACCCGCTCTTGTTCTCTTGGTTATTTTTTGTAGGTACTTTTGTATAATTTTGGGTATTTTTTATAATTTTTGGGTATTTCTCATAATTTTTGGGTATTTTTTATAATCTTTGGGTATTTTTGAGTAAATTTAGTGTGATTTTGTATAATTTTTGCATATTTTTAACCTTTTTTGTCGAATTGTTATTGACATTTGAGTAAGTTGAGCGTTCTCAAATGTATAGTGTTAGTTTTTTTTTCTCAGATTGATTTATTCATTTGCCTCATTGTCTGTTTATGAATGCACAAAGCGAGCATTTGTTCGTAAACTAGGTTTAATTTATGTTTGTTTGCATGTATGTGCGTCTTTCTTATCCTCATTTTGGCTTGTATGTTAATGTGTTTTGACATTAATGTAGTATGTGTGTCTGTTAATGTCTTGTGAGCATTATTCAAAATCTGGCTTCAAATTGATGTCATTGTTTTAACTACAATACTGACGTCATAGTAATTTTTGACATTTTTGTCGCATTAAATTATTTTATTCTAGTAAAACATGAAAAAACACTGAAAAAGATTTTTAATATCTGAAGCTTAAATAATATTTTACTGATAAAAAATGATTGATTGATAAACGAAAACGAAAGTACAAATATAAAATAATATAAAAACATCATGACAGTATAAAATGAAGTTGAATAAAAAAAAAAAAAAATAGAAAAAAATTCACTCCATTAAAACATTGAGTTTTCACGGTCTGCTGGAACTGTCAATAGAAAGAATGCTACTCACATGTGTCTGCGTATGTGTGTGAGTGCGCGTCTGTAGGCGTGTGTCATGTTTGTATGTGTTAAAATATGTAATAGACATATAATATTTGTTGAAGATCATTAAGCATGGCAAAATGAATTAGGAATTAAAAATGGCAAGATGAAATTGGTTTACAATTTTTTGACAAAAAAAATTAGGAAAAACAAAAATGGCGACAATTTTAGTGCTTTGGTGTTTATTCGTTTTTTTAAACTATCTGCCAAAAAATAGCTTAATTATTATTTAATAAATAATATTGAAATCAATAAAAATTTATTAACAGTTAAATTATACGTTATAATATTACGAACATTCTTGCTTCATCATATTTTTATTTCAGTGTAATATTGAAAATATTTTTGTCAAAATGTTTCATGACAAATTATTTCTATGTAGCAGTCCGGCTTGAATTTGCATATAAATATTTATAAAACGTGCCAACGATGTCGCAACTTTCATTCATTAATGCACGCACGCACGCACACGCAGATACACACAACGTAAAAACACACATGCGCATATGAGCACATACATACCTGTTTAAACATACACACACACATAATTGTATCTACACATACATACACACACAAAGTAGATTGTTAGCAGTTTGAAAATATATACAATTTATTTACTTAAAAAGATTTGAAATTTTAAAACATGGAAAAATCTATAAAAAGCAATAAATAATAGCAAAAAAATAAATTTAAAAAAATATTTTTAATTCACGCCATGCTACGGAAAACTCTTCACCTCTCCAAAACAATTACCAACATTAACAGAATGCGTGGGTGGCAGATAGCTCACAAAAATATTCACAAACAAAAACATTCACACTGAAGTGCAAATTTTTACGCACACATTTATATTAATATGTTTAATTGAAACGTAATGGAATAGCAAACATAGAGACAGACAAACAGACTGACAAACATAAGCCGACAGACAGATGAACGCAAACAGAAAATCAGACACAAAGTCTTACAAACAGAAACACACACACACAAACCACACACACAGCAACACACACAAACAGAAAAACAAACGGACACTCAAACATAACAAACAGAAAGAAAAAGTCAGACAAACAGACAGACACAGACAGACAAACAGACAGACATACACAGAGACACAGAAACAGACAGAGACAGAAAGTACATCAAATGACGGAGGAGGAGAGAGAGAAGAACGTGAAAAGATGATAACTGGTAATAGGGGTGAGCTGGAAAGCATCCATCATTTAACTCTCCACATCAAAAGCCTGCCGCATTTGACGTTCTATTGCGCTCCATCATTCACTAAACTTTTTTCCATCTTTTTTTTCCGTCGGTTTTTTTAGTTTCCTGTTCTTCACTTCATTGTTATTTTTTTTTTAATTTTTAAAAATTCCTTCTATTGAAAAACATTTTTTAAAATTGATGACGCATGTTTGGCCTCATTTGAGCACCAAACAATTATATTGAAAACATTTTAGATCTCAAAATGGTCAATTAAATTAAAATTCAACGGTAAGTTTGAACAACGTCTCAGGTTTCTAGTGCATGCAACTCAATCATTTCAACGTTTCATTCCATCCGTTTCATCTCTACTTCAAAGAAATGCTCAATTGATTTCAATTTCAAAATTATAAAACTTCCCAGAAGGTTGGCGGCAAAACAAAAATTTAAAATGAAACTTTAAACTTTCGATTCAAATAATTAAAAAAATATTTTAATTCATTATCACAAAGAGTGCCGACGGTGAAAAAAAGTTGAATGCATGAGAAAAAAAGATGGAAAAATATAATAAACGAAAAAAAAAGAATTGGAAAAAACATGTGAAAGAATTGAAAAGGATAAAAAAAAGATGAAAAGGATGCAGAGGAAGCAGCAGCAGGACCTATAAAGAATGCACCCCTAATGGAAAGCCAAAAGACAATGAAGGAGATTAGCATAGGCAAACATCTCCGCGCCATAACTGCTAATGACCCCACCATGTGATCACTGCTATCCCCTATCACGTGATCCTTCTTTTGTCTTCTAGATGTGTGTTTATGTGATTCTGTGTGTGTCTTTGTGTTTGTGTGTGTTGCGTGTGTCTGTGTGTCTGTGTCAGCTTATTCAAGTTTATATAATATTTTTTTGGATGTTTGTGTGTTTTTTTTAGAAACAACATCAAAATGTACAAAATGTCTTTTAAATATTACTTAATTTTGTTTTGTGTCGGGAGAGAATATACAACTGTTTATTTCTAAATGCAATTTCATATGCCCTCAACGTAAGTTGTGCCTATAAGAGTGTACAGGCGCTGCTGTGCAAATAATTACTGTAGGTGAATCTGGTAATAGCATTGAAAGCCAGTTTGGAGGAGGAAGCGCAAGTAATTAGATATTTACATTGCCTAACCAGCATGCCAATCCATCAATTTGAACTTCATCCGAACGCCTTCTTGGATAATTTCAATTCATCAAGTCTCTCCTTTGTTTAATTTCCTCTACGTCTACGTCTACGTCTTTAATTCTCTTTCTACAGTCACTTCGTATAATGTTTTTGTCTAACAATGTCTACAAAAATTTAATCAAACCAGAAATTTTTTTTTAGTTTGATGGTTCTTCTTGTTAAACTGTTTGATGATTCATTCCATCGGTGAAGAATAGAAAGAATGTCACGCACGATCAAATATTCCGTCCCGAAAACCAGTTAAACCAAAACTTGAATTTGGTGCGGTGTAGATCTTATTGTTGATAAACCATTAACCATTCATTAAATAAACCAGAAGCCCGTATTCAACTGAGTAAGCTAACTACAAGAGTAGATATAAAGAATGATTAGTATCTCATTAGTAATTTAAGATAGTGATTTAATATCATAAATTCAACTTTGATTTTATTTTTCTGTTGCCGGTAATGAAATTCATTGTTATTTACATAATTAAGGATTGATTTTTGATTGTTTTTAATTAGCCTTTTATTAATTTATTTGTATATATTAATCATTTGTTCGATCTTTCATTCTTTTCATTTGGTTGTTAGCTGGTTTGTTTGATGGCTCACTTTTCTCTTCCTCTCTAATCAACTTGCGATTTTTATTTGTTTGTTTGCTCAGCCAAGCATTCTTCATCTGCTCATTCAATTATTTAGTTTATCAATTTATTTATTTATTCATACAAAATTTATTCATTTTTTCATTCATTCGTCAAATTTTTTGTTTGCTCACCTATCCATCCATTCATTCAATCATTCATCTATCCATCCATCCAGTCATTCATCCAGTCATTCATTCGTTCTCTCATTCATTCTTTCATTTACTCTCTCACTCATTCTCTCATTCATTATCTTTTTCATTTATTCATCTGTCCGAGTTTCTTCCATCTGTCCATCCGCACATGCAGCAAAGCGTTCTTTAATCAATCCATCAATTAATCTGGTTAGGTGTGTAGGACGTGGCAACCAGGGGACCTCGGCAAACTTTCAAATTCATTTCTAACATCGCGCTACTGCTGCTGCTACCATTGCTGCTGCTGGTGGTGGTGGTGGCGATAGCTATCGTCGTCGTCGTCAGCCTCATTATCCTCACCACTGTCATCTGCATCATTATCACAACACTATAATCTCCATCGTCATCATCACCATCACATCATCATCCTTTTCCTCATCATCGTCGCAAACACCATGTTGATGATGATAATGACAGTGATGTGATGATGATGAAGTTAAAGATGATGATGACGATGTTGTTGATGATAATGATGATGATGATGATGATAAGAATGAATAAATAATTAAAATGATTAATTATGATTGATTGAAACAACACCGATATGATCGTGAGAATAATATTAATGATGCTGTTATTAACGACGATGATAGTGATGATGATGATGATGACGATGATGATGATGAAGAAAGAGATAATGATGATGACGATAATAAAAATGATGGTGATAATAATAATGAAAATGGTGATATGATAATGATGCTGTTATTAAGGATGATGATGAGGATGAGGATGATGATAATGGTGGTGATGATAATGATTGATGATGTTGAGGATGATGATGATGATGAAGATGATGGTGATAGTGGTGGTGGTTGTGGTGGTGACAACGATAATAATGACGATGATATGATGATGTGTTCAAACTGGTGATGAATTAACTTATTAACATCGATCAGTTTAAAATGAAGATGATATAGCTATGAGTTTGAAAAAAGATATTATAATTATATTAGTATTAGCAATGAATTCACCAAGAAATGTTTCTTAATAAAGTAAAAAAAAATAGGTTTTGTAACAATTTTCAAGAAGCAACATTATCTGTAACAAATTTAAATACAATAAACTATTTTCATTACATCATAAAGTTAAGTGATATGCCAGTAGCATTATAACATTAAGTGATATGCCAGTAACATATAACATTATGTGATATGACAGTAGCATTATAACATTAAGTGTTATGACAGTAACATATAACATTAAGTGATATCACAGTAGCATTGTAACATTAAGTGATATGCCAGTAACATATAACATTATGTGATATGACAGTAGCATTATAACATTAAGTGTTATGACAGTAACATATAACATTAAGTGATATCACAGTAGCATTGTAACATTAAGTGATATGCCAGTAACATATAACATTAAGTGATATGACAGTAGCATTATAACATTAAGTGATATGACAGTAGCACATAACATTAAGTGATATGACAGTAGCATTATAACATTAAGTGATATGACAGTAGCATTATAACATTAAGTGATATGACAGTAGCATTATAACATTAAGTGATATGACAGTAACATATAACATTAACAACAACAGAGCAAAGATAAAACACCCTTTAAATTTAATTGCATATTTGACCGGATTCAAATGCTTATGAGGTTGTATTGATATTATATTGTATTGCCATTGTTTTGATAAAATAATACAATAATAATGAGAACACTTCTTTTATTCAATCAAATATCATAAAATATAATAATAATAATAATTATTATTATAAATTTTTTCTAATTTAGATTTTAAAAACTGTTAATTATTATTGTTATGAACAAACGAGATAAAGTTAAAGTATAAAAAATAATATTACAACAAAAAGGTAGGTAGGTAGGTAGGTAGGTGGGTAGGTGAGTATGTAGGTGGGTAGGTGGGTAGGTAGGTGGGTAGGTGGGTGAGTAGGTAGGTGGGTAGGTGGGTGGGTAGGTAGGTGGGTAGGTAGGTGGATGTGTAGGTAGGTGAGTGAGTTGGTAGGTACATGTTCGGAGAAATGTTTCCATTCGCAACGCCTACCAAGTTGTGTTGTACCGTACCAGCTTGTGCTATTTATATTTTTCTTTTATTGCTTATTCAGACATCACAACTCTCATGTATTAATGTGTGTGTGTGTTTATGTGTGAGTGTGTGTGTGAGTGTGTGTGTGTGAGTGTGTGTGTGAGTGTGTGTGAGTGTGTGTGCGTGTTTAACGTGTGTTATGTTTGTGTGAATCAAAACATTAGATGAAGTTACGTTTGCATAACTCATATATAATACTCATATATAATGTGTAGATGTAATGATGTATTTGTTTACACACACAAAAAAAACCGCTAAGTCGTAACAGAAAATATACATAAATTATTATAAAACATCAAACTAACTCAAATCTAAATACAAAACACACAAAGTCACACACAGACACCCACACAAACACACACAAACACACAGACACACGGACGTATAAAACGGCAGTACCCGTACGCAAAACATGTGCGTTCAAGAGGGGCCTACGTTGAGATATGTTAGCGTTAATATGAGCGCGTCACATTTCGCCGGTTGTATCGCTTAGCATTGATTAATGCGCGTTTGTTTTGGAAATTTGTTTAGATGCGTGTGCTTTTGTATGTGTGTGTGTGTGTGTGCGAGTGTGTGAGTTTGTGTGTGTATGTTTGAGTGAGTATGTGGATATTTGTTTGCGTGCAAGTGTAGATGTTTGTTTGTTTGTATGTATGGTGATGAAGACGTTTTTTTCTATGCCTTCTTAGTAACTTTATTTTTTCGATCTGGAAAATTATTTAACTTACATGCTCTCAAAGCTAAGATTTTCTCTTTGCAATATAATATTTTTAAATGATTTGAAGCATTGCAATTCATCGGCACATGTAACAAACAACTCACAAAGAAAAACATTGGTTGGGTAGTCTGTCCGTGCTACACCATGTATTTCATTCATTGCATGAGTTAGTTGTTGTGAATATTTGCGTGTGTTTGTGTGTGCGTGTTTTGTCTGTGTGTAAACATGTTTGTGCATGTGCTGATATGTGTGTGAATATTTTTTGTCTGTGCCAGTATGCGTATGTATAGTGTATGTGTAGATATGTTTGTATATGTGTATGTGTATATGACGCGCTCATATTAACGTTAATATTTTGTAACTTTTGTGTGTGAATATACTTGTGAATGTGTGAAAATCAGTGCACGTGTGAACGTGAACATACTTGAGCTATCGTAAACGACGTGTATGATTGATTATGACGCATTGTGGAGGTGTGTGAGACTGTTAGTAAAGATGTTCATACGTTTGTACCCCGTTTGTTCGTTCTTTCGTTTGTTTGTTTTTTATTTTTGTTTTCATTTTTTGTTTTTCTATTTTTGAATGTTTTCTTTTTGTATTTTTGTATGTTTTCACGAGGTAAGTTGTATTTTTCTCTCTCTTCATTTATACCGAGAAGATTGTCAATCAATGTTGGAGTTTTTCCATACGCTTTTAGAATTATTTCTATGCGTGTCAGC